AAAATTTCCATTTATTTTCGCATTAACAAAATTTCATTTACATTATATTAATTTTTAATATCCTTTTTAATCAAAATGGCTGCTTGTTTTATTTCATACAGCATTTCCCTCCCCCAGCATTATACATATATTACCCGAAAAACCGTGCTTACATATACAAAAAAGGCGATGTATCTACATGTTTGTGTAGGCATAGGTAAATATCAAAATTATTAATAAAGCATATAGAGAAGCCTTATTTTTCCTCGAGAGGATGGGCTTATCGTGTTCTCTTGGCTTCTTCTCTAAGCAATAGAAATCGCATCATGGCGAAACTTTTGTGTTTTTTCTTCGTGGAAAAGTAAATTAAAATTTAACAATATCCTCCAACCATGATATTGTGCCTGAATTGAGAAATGAGTGCCGGAGAGATAGAAGGCGAAGTGGATGGATGATGAGAGGCTGTGGGGTGGGAGGATAAGAAAGGAAATTCTTCAATCAATACTTGTGCAAATCTATCAAAATTATCCATTGAATTTATGCAGATAAACTTTTTCAGTGAATTCCTAACGAATCCACAGCAGAGGGCGAACAATTTCTCAGGGAAAAGACCCTTTTCTTCACCCTAAGAACATTCCAAAAAATTACCATCAAAGTCTTGTTCAAAGTCTACGTGTTTGATGTGTTTCGAATTTCTCCGGGAATTGGACAAAATAAAAAGATAAATTGAACTCTCAACTTATCCTCATTTCCACAGATTCACCATAAATCTCATCGTGTGCAGAGTGTGTCTCGAGTTGACGAGTGATTCACCCCCATGATTTCCACCCACCGCCATTGTAATGTTTCGCGAATTTTATTCCTAGTTGCGAGAGATAATACATAAAGTATGATGGCAAAGTACAAGGTAGAGAGAGAGTGTATTTATGTCGTCCCTATGTATCAAAGTAATACGATATAAAATTTTCCATTTCCTGTTACACTAACTCCCAGGCACTCTCCCCCGCGCGCCATCGTCCCGTCTCTGTCTCTCTAAAACACAAAAATATTACACAACACATTACCAGTTCTTATATAAATAAATATTGCTCTCCCTCAGACCCGTAGTTCATGTTCCATCCCCGCAGTTTCGCTATAATGCCGTGTACCCTATAGCTATACCTATATCGGGGGTGTTTTATTGAAAGAGCACCAGGGTGGGTAAGTGGTGGAGTGGGATCCTTGAGAATAAATCCATTTTCCATTTCACTCTTTTCCGCCGAAATACACAGTCTCCACTATTACATCTATACCTCATCCGCCAGCAAATCTCTCATCCCTCGCCGGGCCCTTTTCATCCCCCCGCGCCCACCCCTATTCCCACTATACTGCCAAAGCGATGGATAATAATTTTCTGGTGATGCGCAAAAATTTCCCCGCATGTTTATACACACACACACACACACACACTCTCACTCTCTCCCTCAGCATTGTAATGGGAAATATATTTGTTCAGTGTGCCTGTACATTTTCCACATAATGTGCATGTATTCCAATTTTAGATGAATATTTCAACTTTTCTTTCTTTTCATCGCAATTTCGTAAGTAATGTTGTGCTCCGCGAGGAGAAGACATATTTCAGAGACGCGCGCGGCAAGAGATTTCCCACCCAACAAAAGCCTTCAATGGTAGTTCACGAGAAGTAATGTAGCGAGGCATTGTGAAGCTCTCTCTCGCGCCCGCGAGAATCTTAGCCAAAAGCCTTGTTTTTCTCAGAAACTCCCTCCCCAAAAGGATGGGCCAAGGGGGAGATAGTATGCTTTAAATCTGCACACCACTTCCAAACACTTCCAAATTTGCCTGACACTTCGAGAACATGAATTTGTAGTCTGTTTTCATGTTAATTTCCAAATTATAATGAATCTCTTGAGGTTTCTATAAAAATCGACTTAAAAGTGCTGTTTTTGGACATGTTTTCTGATCATAACCTCAAAAATATAATTAGAAAATCTTCAAAAACTCCATTCGGGAGCTTTTCACATCAAAAAACATCTCTTATGATTTGCCCATGATCTTAAAATTGCAGATTCACAATCAAATTTGTCCAGAAAATTGTCCAAATGACTATTTTTGAGGTTATGTCAATCTTTGCACAATTTGCACTGTTTCTTGGGATCAAACTGACAAAAAAGCACTGTTAATTGCTTGAAAATGCTTAATTCTGCCAAATCTAGCAGAATTCATGTTATAGAATGCGAATGATTTACTAAATCTATTCTTAATTCATTACATAACCTAGAAAAAAGATTATTGCGTTTGTTTCTGCGTGAAAATCGAAAGAAATTCAGAGAATCTGAATGATTTGTCGGAAGAACAAACACTCACACTTCTTAAGTACTTCTGCTGAGCAGTACACCACTTTTGACTGTATTATCTCCCCCTTGGGATGGGCAAAAAATCCTGACCGACTTATTAATATTTTTCTTTTATGCCGCTTCTCAAGCTAGATTTTCCTGGCAAATTCTCTCTCTCGAGTTGTTGATAAGACTCTCTTCACTTTTAGAGCATAGATATTACATAATAGCAAGATATGCAGAGACGGTTTATTTTGAATTTTGAGTATCTAAAATGTTGTATTTGAAATCTCACCAGAACTTATAAGAAACACTTGGGGAAAATTATCATTTGTCCAGGGTTTTCAGTCATGCGAACGAATATCTATGTTAATGTCCCTAAGAAGTATCGAAGTGAGCAATTTAACACCTCCACAATTAATTATTATTGCACTATTGTCACAGATGAGCGAAGAATGGTACTGAATTTTGGGGAAAATCACATGGTGTTTCTTTTCGGGCGAAGAAAATCAACCGCACAACCGGGAAAAGTGGTAAAATTCACGCGAGAGAATCGTGCACCATTTCTGCGGATTGAATTACACCAGCAACTAAAACCGATAAGTGTATTCGCAAAAATTTTTGGCAAAGACTATTAAGGTCACGCTAATACTTGCAAGTAGCTTCACTTGTGTGAGAGACTGACAAACTGGGTGCACAGTAAATTCAGCCTCAACTGTATAATTTGGTCACATTTTTGCACAAAGTTCCCCAGCACACTTCATTTAAATCACAATTGGCAAGAAGCATGCGACAGTCGCGAAAAAACTTGCCTCGCTTTTGCCACAAAGGAAAAAACTTGTAACCCTGTTCCACTCTTTCAGTCATATATTTATAAATATCGCCTTATCAATTTCTTCTCTATGTGGTCTACATATATAATAGAAAAAAAAGTGTTTATTGCCAACTTTTTATCTAATAGTAAACCTATTCGAGATACCCAGTATCTGCACCGCCATCGCCATAGTAGTTTGCCAAAAATTTCTCATGATAACACCACAAATACGCTCATAAACACATTTTCTGCAGACACGGGAAGAATGCTATTAGAGATAGACAAACGAACGCAGAGACTCGAGAAAAAAGAGGTATTTGTTTCTAAGTTTTTATACATTTTATATATGCCCAAAACTGCCAAACGCTCACAGATATTGCTATTGTGAGAAGTTTCTTCCCATCACCAGCTCAAGGGGGAGATAATATGACTAAATATAGTGTATTTCACTTCCCGATTTGTCCGGAACTTCAGCAGTGCTTAAAACATGCGATTTCTTTACTTTCCTGTCACGAAAAGTATCATAACCTCAAATTTAGGGTTATTTAGCCTTAAAAGACGTCATTTTTTACTTGTGAGCCTCTGAAAACTTACAGAGAAACAGTGTTTTTGAAATATTTGAAAGTATCCGGTGAATATTTTGATGTATTTCAATTCTAAATCACTTTTTTGGGTCTTCTTTCGAACATAACCTAAGAAATCCTTGAAAGAGTCTTATTCGGCGTCTTTTAGAAGCAAGATTAGAATATTTTAGAGATTATGATTAATCTTAGAATGATTAACAAGATTGGGTGCAAGAATTATTGATTTTAAAGGTTATTTAGTGGTAAATTTCGTCTTAAATTCATAACATAACCTAGAAAAATGTAAAAAGCTTCTTTCATCAATTTTATTGTGAATTTTCCCTTTGAAAGTGACTTTTGAACGCACTATATTGAAAATATTGAAACACTTCCACTGTCAAATACTTCTTATAGGTTGTACACCATTTCTGACCATACTATCTCCCCCTTGCGCCAGATCAATAGATTGATTCAGCAGAAGGAAATAAGAGAATTAAAATGTCCTTATTCCTGTCTTCGGGATGGACTGAAAAGCTCATCTTGACAGATAGATTTGGAGGAAAGTCTTCAGATCAGATCTTCGTCGTCAGAATCATTTGAAGTGTAAATCTGTCAAGCATTAGTTTCGCCTAAGAAAAAAATAGACTCGTGGCATTTCGTCTCTCTCACTCTCTTGGTATTGTTTGAGAAAATACTGCCTTGTTTCTGCAGAGTTGTTGGAAAAAAGTCTCTTATTAGTTTTAGTTTTTTTTTTTGGCAAAGCTCTCCTGTTCTGCGGAATAGAGGAGAATATATTTTTCGCTTCTCAGCGAGCAGCAATAAAATTGTAAGAAATTGCATACATTGGCAACTGAGGCAGTTTTTTTGTCATGGGTTTCTCCCCAACAACTCCAATATATGTGATGTTACTTGACAACAAAGCCATATAAATTCTAATACGCTGAATATGAAAAATGTCTAGTGAAATTAGATAAGATAGTGAATTCACTTGTATGAACTTCTTACTGTGAATTTACATAAAGAAACAGCGGCGAAGCACAAAAAAAAATGGCAAAAGTGAGGAGAAGTTGTTGTGGGGGAAAAAAAATAGATGAAATTGCTTTATTTTCTCTATGATATTCTGTTACATTTGGCGAAAAGACCTTGCTCTTTAATCTCTCTCCACACAGACTCGCCAATAGGAGTTTTCTTATCGTGTGAATTGCAGCCACTATAACTTTTTTTTGCTTGCCCACGACAGCATGACCCCGTGGCGGATTATCTGGGCGAATTTGGCCTAACCAAATTCGTACAGCTAAGGAATCCACTTACCTTTCGTGAAGATCATGGACAATCGATGCAGAAATAGATCACAAAATTTGCACACCTTCTTCACCGGTCAGTTGAACACTGAATGAAAATGTGGTCACATTCAAATGCCGCGTTTGGCTTCAAAAGCGCTCTTTTTTTTGCACAGAAGAGCGTCATTTTTTCTCCAGTGGCACAAGAAAAGCATAGTCTAAAAGTCAAGACGATCACAATCACTGTGTGTCATTCATGCAAAATAGGCAAAACGCAAATTTTTTTCGATGATTCATCTACTTTTACGGGGAATAGAAATTTTTACTCCTATAGTTTCGGTTTTCATGTATTAATTTATGTTTCCTACCAACACGTTAAGTGACTAATAAGGCAAAATATGCCCGTTTGCTCAGCACTTGTATTGGCGCGGATTGTTCATGAAATAAGCAGAATTGTGTTCGATGTTTTGCGGCATTTGCATAACTTTTGCTGCATAGGAAATAACATTAGGCCAAATCGGCGGATGAATTGAAAACTATGAAGAAATTGTCCCACAAATTGCAGTTAAACGCGTTAAAAGCCTTTTAAGAAAATAATTTTAGAATCTCAGAATTATCCTAAAATGTTTCTTAGACTTTGAATGAATATTTCTGATATCTTTTAAATTTTTTCAACTGAAAAATGCAAAGAAAAGTTCAAGTGAAGTATGAAAAGTTGATTTTTTAGAAGTTATTTGGATAAATTCAACTTGAAGACTATTAAAAAACGACTTAGGAAAGTATATTTTGCCATTTTTCAGTCACAAATTTCAATAAATACCCATAAAATCAACTAAAATATCTACAAAACAATGAATATTGAGCAATATTTGCACTTTATCGGACGAATTGAAGGCATTTTGAGGGTTTTTGGCTTTTCATAGTTTTCCATTCACCCGTCGAAATGCAATTTAGTTAATAATTTAAAAGCTCATGCGAGCTTTTCATCTGTTTTTCGCATTCAATTGACCGGAACAGTTAGCCACGACACGGCGTGGTTGAAAGCGTGTGTTTGTCTTACTTTTTCCTGCAAATACAATAAATAAACAGAACACACTAAAACCGCCAAGTTACGTCACGCTGTCTGTCTAGTCTAGAGTCAATAGACGGTTAAAAAGTGCGAGGCTATTGAATTGGACACAAAACGTCTCACACTCTCGCCCAATAAACACCGTGAAGAGCCAATTTGGTACATGAATTTGGCCGAAAATGAGTTTCTTCTGCCGATGCGACAGTCTGAATGTTAAAGACTCCGCGCGACAATGGCTGATGTAAACAATTAAACAACTCTATTTTTTATTCCTTTTCCCACCCAGTCAATTCTCAAAAATGGTCGTACATCTTTTTGTGCGTGCTGCGAGAGAGCTTGAAACAAGAAAAAAGGAAAAAGGTTTCTGAGGAGTGCAAAAATGAGGCGTTTGCCAAATGAATCAAACTTTATTTTCGCCTTTAGAGTGTGATTTTGGGTTGTGAAGAGTTGCAAGAAAAACCTCCACGAGCGCGACTATACATAGACGGTTTTATTTGGGCGTTTGGGATGCATTGAATTCGTCAATTTCATGTTCCTTCGCCCGACACAGCGCGATTTTTTGACTCTAGTCGCACAGCCGCAAAGGTCATCGACTGCAGTTCAAAGCAATACGCGATGTTTTCCTTTTTGTATTTTTTCCGCATGTATTTTTTCTCTTATTCCTTTTCTGCACACCCAACTTCGCATGTATTCCCAATTCTATATCTCTCTGTCTCTCTGGTTCTGGCCATGTATTATGCCTTGACGAAATGCAGTCACTCACATAACAAACACATCTATGCACATTAATTCCTCAGCTTTTATTTGGCCCAAGGGGGAGATAATATGCCTCAAATCTGTACGCCACTTCTAAACACATCGAAAATTAGACTGTTTCCACGTCAATTCCACAAATTATGATGAATCTCTTGAGTTTCCATGCGATATTTCTGCAAGAATCCATTTCAAAACTCTCTTTTGGACATCTTTTCCAACCATAACCTCAAAATGTAACCAAGAGATCTTCAAAAACTTCATTTGGAGGCTTAATAGATCACAAAATCATCTTGTTATTGCTGATTCAGAGTCAAAATCATAGTGAATTTTTGCCAAAAGAACATTTTCCAAGTCTAAATCAATCCGATATTTCAGCAAGAATCAATTTAAGAACACATTTTCCGACCATAACCTCAAAATATAACCAAGAGCTTCAGAAACTTTGTTTGAAAGCTTTCTAGATTCGTGAATGAACTTAAAATTACTGATTCAGAGCCAATATTGTCCGAAAAGTTGTCTAAATAAATATTTTCCAAGTTCAAATGACTGTTTTTGAGGTTATGTTGAATCTTAGCACAATTTTCAGGGATTCTTGGCATCAAAGCTTCAGAATAACAATTTTTATTGACTTTAGCATATAAATTGATGTGCTATTATGCGACTTTTTCACTAAATCTGTCCTTGATTCTTCACATAACCTAAAAAAGAAGATTTTTATGAATGATTCTGCGTGAAAATCGCAGGAAATCTAAAGATTTGGCATAATTTGTCAGTAAAATCAGCACTCAGAAAAGGGAGATTGTAAGTTTCTGAACAATTTCCACTTCTTGATTACTTCTGCTGAGCTGTACACCACTTCTGACTGTATTATCTCCCCCTTGATTTGGTTACAAGAGCGAAGCTGCAAAAAAATCTGTGGCTCCGATGCCATTCTTGCTGTTGCCGAATTTTTGATCGTTAATTTCAATCAAATGAAAAAAGTGTGTATCTTTAGACATTTTTGCGTTCTGTGCAACAAGTTATATTGCATTTTAATACGCGCGCGGTCGCATTTTCGGGAGAAAATAATCACTTTTGGCCACTTTGCACGCAAATCGTTAAAAATATTTTAGGTATGCATGCAAAAAAAAAAACACAGTTTTTGCCACTTTTTCTAGGAGTCGCGGCGCGCTTTCAGTCCAATGAACTCCAATTTGCAATATTTCCGACAAACGACACTTTCGACGCAGCGAATGTGGGAAAAATCTGATGGCAGAATTGAAACATCTTCCATATTTATTTACGCAAGGGGAAAAATTGTGGTCGTGCCGGAATATTGGCGCTCTTCAATAGAGGATCCAACACTATAATTTTCGTATCAAATAAACACCATTAGAGTTTGGGGCATGTTGAGGAGGTTGAGTGTGAAAAAGAGCTGTCGAAAGGCGCGGTTTTTTATCACCTGGACTTGGCCGAAGAGAGATGCCAGATGGACAGGAATATAATAGAGCGCCTGGGCGAAAATCATATAGGAATAGCGAAAGGACGAAAAAATGCTAAAACCACTAAATATCGCCAAAGGGCCTCATATTTCTTTTATAAGTCGTCAATCTAGACATCAGCACGGCTCTCATCAGAGCCATGCGCCCCACAAAGTGGCGCACAAAAGCCCCCCCGAAGAAGATGGGAAGGAATTTATGTGGTGTATCGTTTTGTGCGATTTTCAATGGGAGTTCCGCGCTCTTTTCCTTCGTCCCATGCAACTCTCTTGTGGTGAATTTTGCACGCCAGTGCGGTTGATATGGCGATGAAACAGATGTTGATATGTGCATTTAAAAATAATAACCGTGTCAGAATCTTGCACTTTTCAACAAACTTTTCACACACACAGGAAGTTAACATTTGAGGCTCAATTTTAAAACTCACCACATCGGCTTTTTCACAGCATCGCGCCCCAAAAAACTCAAAAAGAGTCGCGGAAAACGCGCGCTCATTTGGTTGGCAGTTTTTCTGTGTCATTTCGATTCCATGGCAACAACAAATAATATTTATCCTCCTGATAAATTGTAGTTGAAATTAGTAATTGATATGCAGCGATTAGGAATACTTTGTTTGGGCATAATTGAGATGATCGCATCACATTAATCGCAGTGAAACACTCAATCGTATTATCAAAAAGGTAATTTCACTAATTTTCATCCGATTTAATTTCATAGTGTAATGTCCCTAAACAGATGATAGCGCGAATTATTAATATTCACAGTTTCATGTCACTTTAATTTGTAATGGAAAATTGTGTGCGATAAAATTCTGTCAATAGAGTTCGACGGAAGCTTGAAAAACTAGCAAATTTGCGGTTTGAGATTTGAAATCGCAAAGTTTTTATAAATTTATGCAAAATATGGAGAGTTTTTCAGACAAACTTACGATATTAAGTACAAAAAGTCGATTTTTTGATAGTTTTTTTCTTCTGAGCAGTTCGTAAAAAGTAGATTTTCAAATTTTTCCTATAAGATTTATTAACTGCAATGATGAGATTATTGCTGCTAATAAGAATTATGTGACTTGTTTATTCAAATTTGATGATTTTTCATGTAATTTCATTGATTTCATTCAGAATTTAGAATTGATAGATTTTAATTTATTTATTTTTTGATTTAATATGGATTTAAAGATGCAAAACAACTGAAAGAATGGTAAAGAAACGAAATGAAACATCCAGAAGATCTAATATTTCACTTCTAATTCTAATAAATACCGACTTTTACAACAGAATATTGAAAAAAGTCGAGTTTTCAAGATTCAAAATGCGCCTTTTTATAGTTTTCGAGGAATCCGTCGAGTTTGGGAAAGCTTTCTAAGAAAAGGGTGTAAAAATCAATTGAATATTTAATAAAACACAGTGAAATTTCAACAATTACATGGAGAATTCTGCTGAAGAAAAACTGCATCGTTTTCTGCCTTCTTCGTATTCAACATGACTCGAATAGGCAAAAACAGCGCGTCTGGTCGCGTTTAATTGCACTTTAGAGGTTTCATCACCTTCGCCCGGAGTCCTTCGACGGGGCCTTTTTTCTTAGAGCGAACCCGAGATCTCGTCATATTCTCGAATTTGCATTCAAATTCAAGTCTCGGCTGTGTGTGCGCTTTTTTTATGGTGGTTCCCAAAAAACCATCCGCTCGACTCCAGTGCATGATGATCTGCTCATGTTACACTGAAATGCTCTTTAGCGCGAGGGATGTGTGTGCACATAAGGCGGCAAATCGCAATCTACGGAGGACTCCTAAGATGCTCACATAGTGCATGAGAGAGTGCATGTGTGATGAGCACATAGAGA